AAGCGTCCAAAGGATGCATCTGGGCACCTGATCAGGATGGTGGAACAAGGGAGCCAGGCATCCCGATTCAGCCCCTGGCTCAGACAGGGCAACATCTCTGCAGAACTCACCTCGGCAGACCTTGCTTGCTGGGCCATGGGGGCCAGTAGATGCAGCCAAGTCCACCCCTTCCAACCAAACTAACTTCCCTGAATGTTCCAAGTGCACCTCTTTTTCTCATTATTTCAGCTCCTGGAAACAGCCCTACCTAACCCTGGCAAACTTCAGAAGCAGCAGCTAATATTTTTTAAAGATGTGCAGAGCTGTTTTTAAAAGTGAAAGCTTAGTGAGTTTAGTAAAAACTTAAGCCTGCAATAGCAGGCATTTATTTTTCAAACTTCTCGTTTTTCGTATATTAGATCACAGGATCTAAGATAAGGTGCCAATAAGTAACTTCAAATAACAGCTATTTGGGAGGTATTATGGTTCTTACACAGCATGTTTACCAAACGCACAGCCCTCCCTGCCCACAATGTTATACAATAACCAAGGTACAAAAGAGGGGAGGAGAGACGGGCATGGTGACGCATGCCCATAATCCCAGCACTGAGGAGGCTGAGGCAGGAGGATCACAGTGAGTTCAAAGTCATTCTAGTCTACATAGCAAGATCCTGTCTCAAAAAGAAAGAGAGAGAAAAAGACAAGTTATTAATTTATCAAAAAAACCACTAACCACGTGCTGTGATGTGCTGCCCACCGCCACCTTCAACAGTGAGAGAGAGAGAGAGAGAGAGAGAGAGAGAGAGAGAGAGAAACAGAGAACAGAAGAAGGAAGGAAGGAAGGCAAGAAAGGAAGGCAAAGAAGGAAGGAAGGTGGGAAGGAAAGGAAGAGAACAAAGGGAAGGAATGGGAGGAAGTAAATTAGAAAGGCAGACAGGCAGGCGTCCACAGAAGGCCCAGCCAAAACTATGCGCTGCTACAAGTAGGTGCCCACTATGCCCGCTGGTCTAACCTGGGCTCATTTTTTTTCCTCCACTGTGCTTGCCCCACCCCTACCCCCATATGTACAAGAGGTCTTTTACTCCCTTTACCCCTTTTGCTCCAAGAACTTTACACTTTTCCTCTGATTTACAGCTTCAGAGCCATTTCTGTGAAAGAAGAATACAAATCAAGAAGGCCCATTACTCGAGGGTCATTATGCTCAGACGACCTATGCTAGCCCTTCTCAGGCCAAAGGGTCTCTCCAGATTCCAGGATGCTACACTGGCAGCGACTCACCTGGTTCTTGATCAAGCGAAGGACAGTCTCCTAATGAGACTCATTAGAAGGCAAGGAGCTGAACTTGACAGCCAGCTGCCTGGGCTAAGTCCCAGCACTGCCACTTGTTAGTCACAGGACTGTATACAAATCATTGACCAAACTGAGTTTCAGTTTCCTGTGTGTCAAGTGTAACGATAATCATAATAATACCGACTTCATAGGGTTGTTTTACAAAATAAATGAGCCAGCAGCTAGCAAGCCTGCATCCCTGGCACTGTCCTTTTGAAGCTAACAAGGCATCAAACTGTTCGATACCACAGTCTGAATTCTAAGACTGAACAGTGCATGCCTTTAGCTCAGAAGATAGAAGGAGAAAGTCCAAACCTCAGAATGAAATCCACAAGCCTTCTTCTGATATTTAAGGTCCTCCACAGTCTATGCCTACCCTGCCTTCCAGGAAGATCTCCTGCTCCATTCCCACACCATTCTCCAGGTCATCTATTCAGTTAAAAAAAAAAAAAAAACAAGAGTCCATTATCTACATACCACACACCACATAAGGCACAGTTCTCCCATCTGGCCAGCCCAAAGTCATCTTCTTCCCAGAGTCTACCCAACCATTAGGACAGAGATCGAGGCTGGAGCTTCCACAAAGCCTTCCCTAGTTGCCCTATCCCTCATGAGTTTCCACTACTGAATGTCTCCCAGGTCTTCTGGGGCTTTTGCTATGACTATATTTTATAAAGCCAAGTAAAGTACAATTAACTCAAAAGAAGGGGGAAAGCTTACATCTCTCTGTACATCCCTAAGTGACTGGTACTGGAGGTGCACTTAGCAAAGACTCAGTGAATAAGTCATTTATATCTCAAGAGGGCTTGATGGCATAAAGCAAATACAGGAGTATTCTTTCAAAACACCCTTCAGATCAGTAATATTTCATAGCATAGAGGTTTAAAGGCTTAATCTTCAGACCTAGCTTTAAGTAGGCTTATGTTTAAATCTGCCATTAATTAGCTAAGTGACCTTAAAGGAAGTTATTTAATCTCTGTGCCTCAGCTTCTTCATCTATGAACTGAAGATAATCAAAGTACCTACACTTCTTAGGGTGGTTACGAGGGTAAAATAAGATAATACACATGAAGTACTTTGAACAGAGCCAGGCACACAGTAATTACCAATATTCAGTATTATTACTATCATTATTATTGTTATTATTACTAGCTTCTTGAAGTTCAAGTCATCTAAAGTGTCCCAGAAAGCATCTGGATAAGTAGGCTGAGCCTAGATAGAAAGGTACTCGGTATCAGCACATACAAGACATTTTTTCCCTCCTTCACTCCTTTGGCCCATTAGTTTATATAAAGCAATAACAACAAACTCCTACACCTAAAAGGCATCTCCACCTCTGTGTTATCTATCAGTTGCCTTGTGCTCTCATAAAATCTGTGATTCTACTGTCCCTTCCACCTCTGCAAAGCTTTACGTATGTAAGCAACTCAAAAATATTTTCCCAGGCTAGCAACACAGCTCAGTGTTAAGGTACTTGCCCAACACAAGCAAAGCCCTGGGTTTAAGTCGTAGTATCACCAAAAAAAGAAAAAAAAAAAAAATATATATATATATACTCTGCTAATAGCTTAAAAAAGGAAGGAGGGTCTTAAGCAAAACCAATTCAGGCTGTGGATATAGCTTAGTGCCACAGAGCCTACAAGTGCAAGGTTCTCAGTTCAATCCAATACCAAAAAAAAAAAAACCTGACTCAGTACCAGAAACATCAGCCAGGCATAGTAGCACACATCTGTAATCCTACACTTTGGGAGGCTGAGATAAAAGGATCCCAAGTCAAATACACATTCAATTTAGTGACTTAGCAAGACCCTGTCTCAAAATAGAAAATAAGGTGGGGCTGGAGATTTAGCTCAGCAGCATAAGTGCCTGCCTTGCAAGCAGGCAGCCGTAAGTTCGATCCCCGATACCGATAAAAACAAAAAAGACAAAAAAAAAAAAAAAAAAAATAGAAAATAAGGGAGGAGGGAGGCTCAGTATGAAGCTCATAGGTCAATCCCAGTACCCCACCCCCAAATCAAGACCATATGGAGCCATCAAACTTACCACATTCCCACGAAGTACCTTCAGCATTTTTCAGTCTGACCAAGGCATTAAGCAAAACAGAAAGCCTTGCCTCAAACCCACCAGGGATGATTTTACATCTTGTCATCAAACAGCAGATTTTCCATCAAGTGGTTTCTCTTTTCCTCTCCCCCCCCCATTACTTTTCAGTGAGATTTTAATTAAGATCAGTTTTAATACACAGTCTAAAAGGCAAATAACTCTTCAATAAATGAGACAAAATGAAACTGCTGACAGACAGTAATAGAGAGAGAATGGGCAGTTCAGATTCACACACTGGCATTCAAAAGCACATGGCAGCTTTCTTTCAAGATATCTGCAGTGCAAGGGACATTCTCCTTTCCAGTCTCTGAAACTAATTTCTGACAGTTCTCTTTCAGTCAGGCTGCATCTGCACAGTCCAGGTCTGATCCATGTGAGCCTCTGCGTTGAGATGGTTTCTTTAGGGCAACATACAGGTTAATAAGAGCACAGATGCAGAATTTGGACATAAAATCTGGCTCCTCCACTTCCCAGCAACACAGCACCGCACAAGTTACCTAATCTCTCCGTATCTCATCACTCATAAAGTGGCAAAAATAACTGTGCCTAACTCAGAATCATGACTAAGTGAGCTCCTTAAATAAGACTATCCTTTTTCACTTTCAGGTTCTGCAACTAATTAGCCCAGTGGCTACTGTAGCAAACACTAATAAATGATAATTATTTTACTCTCCTCTGCATGTGCAGAGAATAGCCAAAGCCAAGAGGCTTAGCATTTTTTAAATCCATGATTTCTCATTGAGATTTATCAGTTCCCAGAATTGATTCAACACACTAGTTTCGTGGAGTTCATTATAGAAGAGATATAAGCAAACTATAGCAAAATAGAGCAAATCAAGCTTCTAAATGCATTAAGTAATCCTGACATGAATGCTAAGATGTCCATACGGGGGATCTGATTCTCTCACTAAGTGATACCATTGCCACCACTGCTGCTCCTCATCTCCAGCCTCACAGTCCCACGGTCTTTAGGAAACACAAGGTGTTTTGCTACTTTTCTTGTTCTTTTTTTCTTTTATTTATTATTTTTCGGTGGTGCTGGGGATCATACCTAGGGCCTTACACATGCTGGGAAGTACCCTATCACTAAGCTACATGCTCAGACCTTTTCTCTGCTTTTTAGAAAGTTATATATTAAGGTATCTTTAAATAGATAAAATTAAACAGCTCCCATGCAGCCCATCTTCCAAGTGTCACCTCTGCATAGAAGGTCTATTTACTCTGAAATAAAGAAAAAAGTCTCTTTCTTAAAATTCTTATTTAGAGTAAGAATGCAAGTATAATCCATGTATATAATAAAGTGAAGTAGGATTAATTATTAGCACATCTGCTCTCGACCTGCCACATCCACAGATTAGCTAAGTATCTGGGTCACTAACTTAGAATGCCTAGTGCCAACCTAGTAAAACATAACATAGGCAAACATACTATGTATCTGTATAGTAGTCAAATATTTTATTGATCCTAAGAATGTTAAGTACTTGGGTTTTACATCAACATCACATGGTCTAATCCTGCTAAACTGAAAAAACTGAGAAAAAACATATTGAAAAGAATATCATGAATGTGTAATATACTATGCAACTTACCTGCAGTGGCTAAACAGGCAGTCATCAGGGCAAACACAGCGACCACATAATGAGACGTCATTTTTCTTTCTGCAGCAGCCGACAGTTCTTCAGATCACAGACAATCTTTGAAAATTAGAAGTAGCCTGAAAATCCCTCTTGGCAATTTTCAAATTTCCTATAAAAATAAACAAATTTCACTATGAAAACACAGTACAGAAACTTCTTTTCATAAATACAAATTAAAGTTAAATGGAGAATTTCTGAAAAGCATCAGAAAAGAAATTTGTCTTGAAAAACATGCCAGGACATTACTCAACCAAACTAGGAAGAGAAGGGGGTGGTAATTGTCCAATAAGCATTTCTACAGCAAATACTTTTGCTTATATGTGACATTTAAATCTTTGGGTTAAACTGGAGGTTTGGGGGATTGGTTTTGTTGTGTTCTGTTTCATTTTGTTTTTGAGATCAGACTCACTATGTTGCCCAGACTGGTCTCAAACTCCTGGGCTGATACAATCCTCCTATTATCATTCTCTGAAATAGCTGGGCCTGTAAGTCCACAACACCAAACTTGCTTTTAAAAAAATCTTTGGTTTTATAGAGTTTTCAGGACTACAGAATAAAATTGAGATGCATCTATAACTCCACCAGTGATACTGTGATACTAAAGTAATCAATAATACTCCAAATACACATTCCCTAGTGCCAGCAAGCAAACAGAAATAGCTCTGATTAGAGACTCAATTTAATATCATAATGACAGGGTTATCACAATGATAAAATTAAATGACAGTGAGAATCAATCTAAAAAAAAAACCCAAAGAACCATAAAAAAGGAAAGGCTTTTATTTCAACTGTTGGCTGACATTTTAACAGGGGAAAAGTCTCTCTTGACCCCATCTGAGACTTTCTTGATTACTACAGTAGATGATCTAAAAGACCTTTCTAACCTTTCCTACCCCAAGTCTTGAATGGCAGTTTGCTGGTGGTCTGCTTACCTAGAATATTCTTCCCACAGTCCTAACACATGCTTCGTAGAAACATTCCAAAGTATATTTTCCAGCCCTACAACCCTAAATCCAGCACAATGAACAGAAGTTGCTCAATTCAACAAATATTTATTGAGCACCTAGTATGATCCAGGTATGGTTCCTTCTCATCAGCAATAAAAGCTATCTAACAAACAGATAAAAGGTACAAAGATCCTGCCTGTCTCTAAGCCCTGGACAAAGCAAGATGGTGGAATTCCTGGGAACCTGAATGCACTGATATGGATGGACAAAGCTCTTTAAAAGAAAACGCTATTTCAGCAAATGCTAAAATGCAAAAAACTTTTAAGCAAATTCCTGTAAGGAGATCTCAGGAGAAGATGGCTTCCTAGTGTATTTTTATGGGACACATAAACCATAGGCAGCATGAGGCTTGTGGGAATACTTAATGAGCTTGTGTCACCCCTGCCCACAGATGGATCTGAGGAGCTGTAAGGCTGCACTGTATTAATCCAGGGGCTTAAACCAGGTTTGAACAAACCTGTGGAAAGAAAGGCAAATGGTTCTATTAAAAAATATAGACTGCAAATTGCTGACAAGAATATTGGGCAATTATTAAAATACAGCAATTACAGATATAATAGAGCCAAGCTAAACAGTTTGATGCCCAAAGGCAAACCACAGCAAGTTTACACCGGATCTTAAAACATCTCTGAGGAAGTCCAAGACAAGTTGAAACTGCACACTGCTGTTTCTAACAAAGAGGGAGTTTTGCTTCTTTTAGCTTAAAAGTCCTTCCCTAATGTAACTCGTTCAAAAAAGAAAATAAACTGCGGAGGGTTTTTATCTAATATTCCTAGTGTGGTGACAGGATCAGAAAGCAGAGAATATAAAGGGAAGCATGTGGTTCCCACTCGGCTGAACTCCAGTTTGGGCCAAGACCTGGACGCAGCAGCGCCTTCACACACAACTTACAGACTGGTTCCCTATTTGAAAGAATTCAGGATGACAGCAGGCTTCCAAAAAGTAATAGCTTTGAAACAAACCCAGGGACATAAACTCCTCTCTTCTGTGAGGTTCTATGACCCTCATTTTGCATAGACCAAGGACTCCCGGGCCTTGGCTTTTTGACCTTGCTAAAAGTCTTTGGACTTTATGAACTAAATGCTTCCTTTTGAAATACAAACAGGACCTCTAAAATTCTGAAAGCATAATTTTGTGTCTACACAGTTCAAGGCAATGTGTTCTATTCAACAGGTATGAAATACTTAGTATCTACAAATTTAGGAAAATTCTGAGAGAGCAAGCTTCATGAATTACAAAGAAGAATATGTTAGTAATTCTGCTACTAGCACAATTCTGCTTTCAGCATTGGCCTGGGTTAATGCTGGGGCCATCAAATGGAGCTCACTGCCTTGCATTCCTTGGTGATCCAAAAGCACACACAGGTAAAGACCAGGATTAGCTAGAAAAACCCTTCTCAAACGGATCCTGACCCCATCATGGGTTTAAACCAATGTCCAAGAGGAGCTAGTTAGGAACAATATTTTCTGGGTTGAATTTTTTGTTTTTGTTTTAAAAATAAATCTCACTCTATCTGAGAGGAAAATTATGGCAAAATGGCTATCTGGCAGTGGGCTAAGAGCTAGTAAGAAAAAACTAGTGTCTCTCACATGGCTATGTACCCAGCTATATATGTGAAATTATTGAAAATCAGGACGACTCAGTTGAAAATTTGTCATCCTAAAGATATATAAATAGACTGAGCTGAAAGAGGTCAGCATGATCTTAGTGACAACGAAAAACCCCAAATCCCAAGATCCACACCTGCCCTGATGGCAGATGAAGGCCAGAAAGATCTTTTTCTGTGGCCACCACTCTATCTCCCAGCTCCTCCTGCTCTGTCATTACAACCTGAGAAGCAGTCTCTCTCCTCAACAGTTACTCTCTGAAAACAGAACTTGTTTTCTAAAAGAGGGGGAATTCTGCTGTGGGTGCAAAAATCATTACTAGTCAAAACAGTCATTTGATTACAAGACTATGGGTGGCAGCCATAAAAAAATATACAATCCTTGGTAGTGCTAAACTCAACTTTCTTAAGAAATGCAAAGGACAAAATGCAGCACAAATCCATACACTGTCACATTCTAATACTGACATGGTTTTGCCACCAAGTGGGGAAGGAAAGTAGAGACTCAACAAATCTAAGGATCTTAAGGACAGAGATATTGAGTGAGATTTTTAAAATTACTACCACCTAAACTCAAATAGTAAGTAACACCTAAGATTCTGGTTGCTGAAATGTAAAGTGGTTTCTGACAGATCATAAAAATATTTCCAGAGTGCTGTTTAAGTGCATTTTTTAGAGAAATGCACAGTTGAGTCTGCAAATGATGAAGTAGAAGTTGGTAGAGGAATAGTCCTGATGGTCATTCAACATATTATTCAAGGGATTCAGAAAAGGGGCAGCAGGGATGACATCAATATCTATAAAAAGGGGTGCATGGGATGTAGAAAAGATACTGTTGTTTGATGATATTTGGATGCCCTTTAAGACCTGTACACAAAGAGAGTAAAGCCACTTTTATTAAGTCACAGCTGCAACTCTCAGATTTCTCTGCCTCACAGGGAAAGTAGATAATTCCCAGTCCCCATATTCAGACAGATTTGGCACAAAGAAAGATAGAGTCCTGGATTTCGTTGAGAAATCTCTGGAACCATATCTAAGCACAACAGATACCCAACAAATATTTACTACTATTATGTGCCAGGCACTGATCAAGATGCCAAGGAGATAGCAATGGAAAAAAGGAGCCAAATCCCTGCCCTCAAAGAATTGATATCTAGTAAAGGCAGTATCATTTAATTTTTTAGGAGACATCTAACTTCTTGGGCTTCATTTCTTCTCTTGATAAATCTGTAGTTATTGCTTACTCTTGCCAGGTAACGGGGATATAATGGCCAAAAAGAGACATGTTCTTTGGCCTTTATGGGCTTACCATCTGGCAAAGTAAGCAAACAATCACAAATACCTAACCATACAGTCTGACAAGAGCACTAAAGGAAGAGCACCTACAGATGAGAAAAGACACTCCGAGGAGAGGCACGCTGCAAGTCCTGGCGTGAAGGGAACAAGGCCGCACAGCGGAAAGAGACAAGGAGCGAGGTTCACAGGCCATGATCAGAGTGGATTTTAAGTATCTCCCTGGATGCTGTATGGAGAACAGACTGAAGGGAGGCCACTGCCCTTGAGAAAAGAGCAGTTGAGGTTTACAGAGGGGCAGACAAGAAAGGATGAACATTGAGGTCAGGAAGGAACCTCTGTTTCTTCCTTTGTAAGGGACAATAATAAATTATATAGATTACCAAGCCGTTGCAAGAATTGAATGAGATTGTGCATGTATGGTATAAAAGCTATCATTATTTATCATTAGCAGGTTATATTTACTGAAAAGCTTTATTATCCTAAGGTCTAAGATTAATTAAAGTCCCAACATGCTGTGGCTGCCAGGGCAGGAAATGAAAAGCAGAAGTTACTCCTGAACTCCTATGCTGGTGGGCAGGAATTTCAATGAAGACCAGCGGGAAGCGGGCAGGAGGCACAGAGAGCACAAGGTGAGCAGAGGCTGCGCCCACCCTCCCAGGATCCTGCCTGATGCCTTCGGGCAGGGAGCTGCCCCTTCCTGGCCCTGCAGCCCTCACTCCCAGCTGAGAGCATCAGTCTCTGGTCCTGGCATTCTTGCTTTCTTCGGGGTAGAACCTCAGTGAGTCTTTAAAGGCCTAGACACAATAGGCCTCAATCCCAAGCAAAACACATCGAAACGGAAAGACAAGGTTATGAAAGTCATACTTAGTTTGAATTCACAAATGGATTTTTCACCCACCTTGCAGTACCTGAGAACTACCTTTTCATGCTTAAGATTTTTGCATCCAAAGATATCTTCTGCTTATAATTTAGGGGGTATATTCTTTTAAGATAGAATTAACAGAGAACTATATTTGGGAGTTTAACCTTCCAGCATACCCGGCTGTGTTGCACTGCACAAGTCACTTAGCCTCCACCGTTCTCTCACCTGTAAAATGATAACACTTGGTAATATATGGGAGGTAATATAGGCATGTTACATACAATCATACCAGTACCCTGCCTCATATAGGCATGCACACACGCGTGCGGGTGTGTGTG